CGCGCTGGGAAGTGGGCTCGGTAGTTGGGAACTCCGGGATAAGCGGAACTTCGACGTGTCCTTTTTGGGTGTGTAAATGTTCTTGGGCGCATCGGGGAAAACTCTCAGAATTTTGCGTAAATACGAATAGGCGTAGGATTTTTTTTTCTCGCGTCGTTTTTTTTTTCGCGCGCGGACATGGTGATTTCAATTTTTGAATTGGGATAGAAGCAAGCTGTAACTGTTTCGGTGCCTTTTTCTTTTTTTTGTTGACGGTGTTGTACACACAAAAGCTTCTTCCTCTCTGTCCCCCGCATCGCTCCCTCCCGCGCCTCCCTTCCTTTCTCCCTCTTTTTTTTTTCTCCCCGTAACTGTTTTTCCTTCTCCCTATATCTCTCCCGCCTTGCTTTCGCGTGCCCATTTCCCTTTCTCGATCATCTGAATCTTGGACCCGTCTTGCGCCACCTCTCGCGCGTTTTCTCTTCTCACCCTCTGAGCCTGGCGTACGACGCCCAATCGATCCCTCGATAACTCCCGCTCGCCAATCAGGTGCGTGGATCGACAGGACCTACCTATCGCGCGACGGATCTGATTGGTTGAACCTTGAGTTCTGAGGGATCAACATGGCGTTCTCGGAGCACTCTTCTCAAAGTCTTATCCTCCTTCTCCTCCTACACCCCCGCCTTCCCGTCGTTCTCTCCCCCTTCTATCTCCTTTCTCACAACTATAAAACCCGCAAGCACGCCCACAAATCTCTCTTACGTTCTCAATTCCTAAGCCAACTTTCGGGAAGCAGCGGCTAGGCAGAGTGGATTGATGCGAATCAGAAAGTCCTGTCGGGCTGACGATAGGCTGGCCGGTTGCGTGCTTGATCGCCACGAAGGACTGTGGGATCCGGGCGAACCGTGTCGAGTTTACGACAGCGGGGTGACGATCGCAGTGGTGGGAGTTAGCATGCGACGGTCGGGATCGTCGGTGCGGATATGAGGGTTGATGATTAAAGTTGAGTGAGTGAATGGCCCGGGGCCATAGTGGAATTAACGGCGAATGCGCCTTAGTTGCGGATTGTTACCCTTGGCGTGAGTGTAAGGAGGCGACGCCGAACTTTTCTCTTTTCGGACCTTGTGATCTTTTATTTGACTCTCTCTCTCCTCTTGAATGATGATGCGTCTGAATGATTGTCCTGCTCTTGAATGGAAATGAGTTGGCATTCTGTGTGAAGGAACTTCTTTCGGAACTCTTCCATTAGTTTCCTGGGTAATCCTCCTACGCAAGGACCCTGTTTTCTTGTCTTGTGAACGGTGGATGCTTGTGTACTGAGTGATGCGATCCATCTTTTCCTGTGCATGTCTCATTTTTGCACCTTCCACAGTGAATGCATGTAGGGAATGAGTAACTCTTCTGTTGAATAGACGATTGTCGTCGGGATTTTATTCGATAATGCAAGAGTGTTTAGATTCGTAGCTCTGTTTACACTGCGCATGCCATCTGCCTTATGATGCATGACATCGGCAGCGGAGTCACGAGGCGGCCCTGAGAAACAAGGCGCCCAGGGACCAACGTTGTGTTGGGCTGATCGAACCCGTAGCCATATGTGTGATCAAGCCGATCTGTGTTTGCTCTCTCTCTCTCTCTCTCTCTCTCTCTCTCTCTCATGTCAAGAAGGATTGATTGAGTGTTGCGCAAATGATTTCTGTTTTTAATGACGTCTCGGGATATTCTGTGATTAATGTATATGTGGACTGACAAGCATCCTTCGACTGGGCGCCAACCTCTCATATCTCGCATCCCAACGCGACCTTTTCCTTTCAGTGAGGAAAGGACACGTGTATGCGAGTGGGACGTACGAGAAGCCGTTGCACGAATCGACGGACAGTATTACTTCCGTCTCGAAAATCGTTGTTCTGGATTCGTAGATGCGGGCTTTGTTATTATCGATACGCACTTCCCACCTTACTCGGTATTGTTGCCATTTAACGAGTTGATCGTCATTCCGTGAACGGCGGTAGAACCCCACTGGCCGTGCACTCTGTGCACCGAATGTCAGCGTTTTTAGCGTTACGAGTCGAGGGATTTCCACTACCGTGTGCGGAGTGAAGACAAGCATAGAAGATTTGTAAATCAGTGGTTCCCGTTTGAAACAAAATCAATAACATAGCTAAAAGCATGAAAACGGATAGAAAGAGCCACAGGACTGAGATCATGTACGTCGGACTCGGAACTAACCAACGAGCGACGACGAGATTTGATACGGAAACGAGACACGCGAAGCGTGCCAAAACCTTTTTGCTCCAAACGACGGGTGGTAGCTCGGTGGGAAGCCCGACAGTATTTTTTGGATTGAATTTGGGTCTTTCTATTTTCGCGCCACGTCCGCGCGCGCATTTCGTGACGCGCGAAACTAACCAACTTGCTCCATCGGACCAACACGGGGGATTTCAGTTCCGTCTGTGTCCCCACACTCAATTTCCAAAAATCCTTGGCACACCCCATCTTGCTGTTTTTCTGGGCCTCTTTCCGCATGACTAACACTCCGAACGGAAGACAGCACAGGGCGTGAGGTTGCGCGTCACACGCGTAGGAGGGCCCGAACAATTGTAAAACAGGTATACTTTGGCCAGCTTTTCCCGCCCAAACAAAGCCTAAGACATGAAAACAATTCGCAGCCCTTCAGGGTGGCATTCTCCACCCCTGAGACATTTCAACGTCAATCAAATTTCAACATCGGTGGTCGTCGGGAGGGTGGGCATTTTGAGGTTTTGGGGCCTTGCAAGGGCCAGGATCGCGTGGGAGGGCCCGAACAGTTGCAAAACAGTTATACTTTAGCCAGCTTTTCCCGCCCAAACAAAGCCTAACACATGAAAACAATTTGCAGCCCCTCAGGGTTGCATTTTGCACCCCTGAGACATTTCAACGTCGGTGGTCATCGGGAGGGTGGGCATTTTGAGGTTTTGGGGCCTTGCGAGGGCCAGGACCGCGTGGGAGGGCCCGAACAGTTGCAAAACAGTTATACTTTGGGCAGCTTTTCCTGCCCAAACAAAGCCTAACACATGAAAACAATTTGCAGCCCTTCAGGGTTGTGTTTTCCACCCCTGAGCCATTTCAACGTCGGTGGTCGTCGGGAGGGTGGGCATTTTGAGGTTTTGGGGCCTTGCAAGGGCCAGGACCGCATAGGACCGGTAGCTGCCTGTAGGAGGCCGAGGAGTCCGCGGTCCTTTTCCGAAATTGAAACGGTGCGGGTACACTTTTCTCGAATAGCAGAGTTCCTCGAATAGAAAACGTGCACATTTGAATACAACATGTACCCTTTCTATTCGGATTTCAAAAAGAAAATAACTCTTGTGTTCCAATAAAATTACTACTTTTTTCTTGGAGGTCAGCGCCTGCCCTTGTGCTCTCCGCCACTGACATGCTGCATGCTGCAGGTCTCTCTCTCTCTCTCTCTCTCTCTCTCTCTCTCTCTCTCTCTCTCTCTCTCTC